CAAGGGCACTATTTTACAAGCAGTGGAGACAAGCATTCTATGTTTGCTATTTATGCAAGAGTGTTTTACAACTTCAATAATGAAATATCTAAGAGAGATAGATGTATTGATCTCTGAAACAGTATAATTTCTATACGTGGATCACAGAGAGAAAACCTCTTTCTCTTGAGGCTCTGACATGAGTTTCAGATACTCCACTTCAAAAAGAACCTCATGGAGAGTATGGTAGTATGAAGTAGATAAATTGGACAGAAAAATGACAGTCACTTCTGGTTCCTCTGTCATGTCCTCCAGCATCTCAGTATCAGGATAAGAGGAAATGCATAGGTATAATTGGGTGGGAAAGGATCTAGCACCAAGAAACATATCTCAGCTGACATCCTCAATATGGAAATGTGAACTGGAAAAAGGAGAGGGACATTGAGAACCACCAGTTTTAGGAGAAAGGGAATTTTCATTGTCATCTTACACAGATACATCAAAAAAGGCATTCAGGATGGAACCTGGTTTTCTTATTTGCTGGATCACTGAAGGGCACACTGAAGGGCTCACTGATTTCTGATATGTGTTAAAGGGTAGAGACACTTTAACAAAAACTATGTATTTTTCCTCTGTTATACATTTCTGAGAGTCTTGGACTTTGTCCTCTAACTCTTTGCTTGTATTGAAAAGGTTGGTCAGCCTCATATCCTGCCCATTTTTGCAGGGTTAATATGTTTCTCTGATGGTGTATATCCAATGTGGCATGCATATTTATAGGTGGAAAGGGCAGACTGAGAGAATAGTTGCCCAGGCTAAAGAGTTTACCATTCAAGATTTGACAACAGATCTAAATATATATTCATTTTGGACAGATTAGTTTAGACTCAGCCTATGACTGATCTCTGTTTTGACATTTATCTCATGGTGAGAAGAATGGTTACGATTGAGTGGTAGAGTTATGAATAAATGACTGCCTTTCCCTCAGGAGTGAAGATAAGTGTCACAAGAAATCAGCCATCATGTATGTTATGTGTCGAACGAGTACTCTCAGCTCCCACTGCTTGGATGGGATTAAAACTTCCCTGACAGTTTGAAACAGTGAAGAATACTTGGGCGGTGTGGGAATCAGGCTGCTCTGAAAATGGTTAAACTTTTAATCAGTTGTGAGCTCTTATGCCACCAGCCAAACAACAATATATGTAAATTAAATTGCAAAAATAGCACAAAGAAGTATTTATCTCCCTTGCTATATGTGTGTGCGTGTATATATATATATACACGCACACACACACACATATGTGTATGTATATGCAATTATTTCTAAAGTAGACAAAAATGATAAAACATTTAAGTTCCAATATTTATGTATTTGCCATAGCTAAACTTAGACGCAACATCTAATTTACACTGACGTCTTTCTTTAACAAGTTTTGTAAGAGGAATGATTTAAGTTCAAGGAAGTGCAGTGAGTCATCAGCACGGTGGGCCAGTGGCTGAGCTAAGTTTAGAATCAAGGGGAAGTTTGGATCTTCTGGCTCCAAGTTTTTCCCTTTACATCTCTGCTTTTCTCAAATATTCTCAGTGCTTCCAAAAAAAAAAGAGGAAAAAAAAGAAGAAGTAACTTTCTTCAAATTTCTTTTCTTATTTGATTTTTTATGTAACCTTGGTTCTCTGGTCTTGTATGGTAAATCAGAAATTTTAATTTAATGAGCTGATCTGAGTTTTTAAAATCAGGTTATCTGATGACCTTGCAAATATTACCTTGTGACATCTCTGTTTCAGAAGAACTGAGATTAGAAAGCATAAATGGAAAATGCGAGGTCTGTTCAAGTGGTACCTGAGCAAAGGTTCTGCAGTTGCAAGGAAACACACCAGATGAAGCTGAGCGAGACCAACCCAACCCAGCCACCCAGCCCAGCCTCTGTTGCTATCTGTCTGCTTATAAACCCATACATTGTCATTTCCTTCAGCTCTCCTTCCAAATCTTCTGTGAGTCAATGAGTTTTCTGTCAGATCAAGGGAATCATGGAGGTTATGGGGCACTACAGCTCGTGTCACATCCAGCTCATTTCTCCTCCAAGGGGTGCCTTTGAAAACAAACTCATGGCCAGAACAAGGGAAGACCAGTGCACTTTCTCCATAAACTGGCTTAGGCCAGGCTGTTCTCAGCAGATTACAAGCCCATCTCCTCTGTGCCAGACCCGGGATGCTCTTCTTGTGCAACATCTCTCTTGCAGCATTTCTCCCCAGCACAGTCTGACAGACAGGCATTACAAGACAACCCAACTCTGATACAAATTGAATGGTTAATCTGCTTTTTTTACATCTTCTCTAGGTTTTATCTATTTTTCCTGTGGGGCAATAAATGCACAAAAACAAAGGAAGACTGGTCAGACTCTTTCAGACTATGACTGCTTGATGATTTCTGGTTTCCCTAGCTGATTGGGTGCATTGCTGTTTTTTGCATCACGAAAGAGCCATGACACAGACAAGAGGTGATTAAACTAGGGGCTTGTGTAGCACACTGCATGCAGGCAGGTGGAACATTTATGCTGAAAGGAAGTAGTTTTCTGATTGTGTTTGACTTTGCTATAATAAAATGCAGTTATGTTCTATAACAGTTTCATTTCATCCTAGTCATACTGCGATGACAGCCTTATTACACCACTGTTTATGTTTTTTGCTAAGCTTAGTCATTGTTTAATCTTATAAACAGAGAATCAACTTCATGCCCGATAGCTATTGTAGCTCATGCTCCTGAGCCCTAACACAGCTGGAGGTACCGTGGGATGGGGACATAAAATCGATTAGATAACCTGGTCATTGTAAGAGTCCTAGCAGGGGAATCCCATCCAGGTGTTACTGTCCAGTAGAGTTCAAAACTATTGAACTCTATCGAATCTATTGAAATTGCCTGACCAGCCTAGTGGCTTTCTACAATGGAGTGACTATGTTAGTGAACAAGGGAAGAGCAATGGATGTCATCTATCTGGAATTCTGCAAGACCTTTGACAACATCCTTCTCTGTAAGTTGAAAGGATATGGATTTGATGGGCGGACTGTTTGGTGGATAACAAATTGGTTGGATGGCTGCATCCAGAGAGTAATGGTCAATGTTTCTATGTCCAGATGGAGAAGGGTGACAAGTGGTGTCACTCAGGGGTCTGTACTAGGACCAGTGTTGTTTAATATCTTCATTGATGATATAGACAGTGGGGTTGAGGGCACCCTCAGCAAATTTGTGAATGACACCAAGCTGATTGGTGCAGTTGACATGCCTGAGGGATGGGATGTTGTCCAGACTGACCTGGATGAGCTAGAGAAGTGGGCCTATGTGAACCTCATGAGGTTCAACAAGGCCAAGTGCAAGGTCCTGCACTTGGGTAGGGGCAATCCTCAGTATGTGTACAGGCTGGAGGATGATGTGATAGAGACCAGCCCTGAGGAAAAGGACTTGGGGACACTGGTGGATGAAAAGCTGGACATGAGCCAACAGTACATGCTCACAGCCCAGAAGGCCAACCACATCCTGGGCTGCATCAAAAGAAGCATGGCCAGCAGGTTGAGAAAGGTGATTCATCCCCTCTACTCTGCTCTGGTGAGACCTCACCTGGAGTACTGTGTCCAGCTCTGGAGCCCTCAACACAAGAAGGACATGGAACTGTTGGAATGGGTGAGAGGAGGGCCATGAAGATGATCAGAGGTCTGAAGCACCTCACCTACAAAGACAGGCTGAGAGTCTGGACAAGAGAAGGCTGTGGGGAGACCTTATAGAGGCCTTCCAGTACCTGAAGAGGGCTTACAAGAAAGCTGGGGAGGAACTCTTTACAAGGGTGTGTAGCAACAAGACAAGGGGCAATGGTTTTAAACTAGAGAAGGGTTGATTTAGAAGAGACATTAGGAAGAAATTCTTCACTATGAGGGTGGTGAAACACTGGAACAGGTTGCCCAGTGAGGTAGTGGAGGCCCCATTTCTGGAGAAATAAAAGGTCAGGCTTGATGGGGTTCTGAGCAACCTGATCTAGGTAAAGATGTCCCTGCTCTTGGCAGGGAGGTTGGACTAGATGACCTATAAAGGTCCCTTCAAACCCCATTCTATGATTCTATGAAATCTACTAATTATGAACTACCAGAACTCAACAGTACAACTACAGTCACTGTTTGCCAATACTTTAGTGAGCCTTATTTTATCAGTAACGACAGTGTTAATGTCAATGAGGCCACAAGCAGACGGAAAATGCCACTCAATGTGAATGAGCTTCATTGCAATCTGACCCTGTCTTATTAAAGGTGACTTTTTCAGCATGTGCAGACTTTTCATATTCCAGATCAGTGGTTCCTAAAGGGTGGACTTCAGAGTCAGAAAATCACAATACTTTCTTATAACTTCACAGTGAGCAGCTGTCACTCTGGTAAGATAAATGTCACCTTTTATAAACTGCAGTAACTGCTCACTTTTCTCTACTCTTCTTATATCTCTGCTTTGACCTAGTCTGAGTCATCCTCTACATGGGGAATGTTTCTACCTGTGGGCATACATATGACTGGGGTTGTGTACTGATGAAAAGGGTGTAATGTCTCCTCTGACTCTGCAGCGAAATGCTTCTCCCTGGAATAACGATGTTTGGTAACATAGTGAAGACACAAACTGGTGGGCATTTGCTAGATTCCCCTGCTATAGGTAGATGCCAGGTGGAAAAGCAGCTTTTAAATAGCAACAAATGCCCTGCCTGTGCACCTGTGTGGGGATCAGGGGAGCATAACCTGTGAGCGTGAGGCAGGAGCAGGGGGTTGTCTTAAGGCTCTGCTGTACCCACCCTGCAGGGACCTTGAGAATGCACCAAAGGAGAAGAACTTGGTTCCTCCAGATTTGGACTGTGAGAAATAGACTGACTAGTTTCCTGCTCAGCTTTAATGACTAAAGCTTAAAAGCATCCACATGGACTGGGCCAAAGGCTAGCCCAGCAGCCTGTTTCTAATGGTGACCAACAGTTTAAGAAAAGTTAACAAATTAGGGTATGCGGAAGGACCGTCTTTGCCAAAATGAGCATCTGGCCATCAGTAAGGTAAGGACTTGCTACTCTGTAAGCTGCCTTAAAATGACTGTTTACAGACCAGGTAAACCTCCACTGGTTTGATGGCTCCCTTTTAACATCCACTTTTATTTTTAACTGTATTTTAGCAATGAGTTTTCCATTTTAATTATGCACTATATAGCTCTTGCTATTTGACAAATTACCTTGTTACCTGCATAATTACCACTGAAGACTCTAAGTATCTATAGTTAAAGTATCATTTCTTGTATGTTCCTAGACAGAATACATGTTGGCTGTTGTTGGAGGTTATGGAAAAATCACAGCTGATTAAAAACCCCAAATCCTCTATGAGCTATTCTTTCCTGTCCATTTTTCCTCACTCGTTTACAATTTAGAACTTTTAAAAATTTCTTGTTATGACTTACAAGTTATTTCACCTTGTGTTTATACCCAATGCAGCTAATTTTTATGTATCATGAGAATTCTGATTTCTGTTTCTATAACAATGCCTCTAGAACAAGCACCATGAGAAAACATTGCATAATAACATGGTTATGTTATCCATACTGTTCCAATGCCTGAGGTTAAAGTTTGAGTGAATTTTTTGCAACTAAATCAAAAGTAAATCAAGCAGTGTTTCAGTATACTTTTGCAATACAAAGCCATATATTTGTATACCAGCTTTAGCTGGTTGAGCAACTTGCCAAAGAACTTGCAGTGACTACACTGAAACATTAAAGAAATCACAGAATTTTTCACACAGTCGGAGACTTTCACCAGCTTTGTCAAAAACATGAGTTGTTTTTGTTTTGAAAGGTTATTTTTTTTCATATGTATCCACACCTAGTTGTACAGAAACTGTAGCACACCCATCTAGGCAAAAAGAGTTACTGCTAAAACACTTGCCAAAATTCAGAATACCCAAAGAATGTAATATGTCCTATATAATTTGTTCATCAAATATACTATGCACCTGTATTGAGTTTTCTGTAGGGGGTTTTGGTTTCTTTTTAGTAGTGGGGGAGGGCTAAGGAGATAGCCCTGTAAGAAGCTACCAGAAAAACTCTCCTGGCTCTAAAATGTTGGACCCACCTCTGACCAGGGCCAAGGCAATCAGTGACTCAGCAAATTCATGTATTTAAGGAGGGTGTGGCCCACACTCTTCCTCTGGCACTAGTCCCAACCAGCGTGGTCTTGGGTGCTAGCAGTGTGGCCCTGGTCCCGACCCTGCCTGGCTCCAACTTAAGTTCAGGCCTCTCTGCAGCTCCAGACCAAAAGAGCGAGCCGGGAACTCTTCAGAACCATCAGAAGGGACCTGCAGCAGAGAAAGGAGAGGGATGTAAGGAGAACAACTGCATGGACACCAAGGTCGGTGAAGGAAGAAAAGAGAGGAAGGAGGAGTAGGTACATGGAGTCGAATTTCTCCCTGCAACTCCCTGCAACTAGGCCCCTGAAGAAGCCATGACTCCGGACAGTGTGTGCTGGAGCAGTTTGTGTGTGAGGAAACTGTGACTGTGGGCAGACCCACATTGGAGCTTTGTGGACTTGGGTTGCAGCTGTGGGCAGACCCACATTTGGACTTTTGTGGAGGATTTTTCTCTGGTGCAAGGGAGCCATGTGGAAGCAGAGGGAGGCTGGGAGGAGTCCTCCCCTACCCCTGAAGAGGAAGGAGTGGCAGAGACCAACTGACTGCAACCCCCATTCCCATCCCTCTGTGCCCCTGGGCAAAGATCTGCGAGGTGAGGAAACCAGGAACAAAGATGAGGCTGGGAAAGAAGGGAGGGGTGAGGGAAGGTGTTTGGCTTTAAGATCCGGTTGTATATCTCACTGTTCTATTCTGATGTTATTGGTAACAAATTAAAATTGTTTTTTTTTTGTTTTTTTTCCCTCTCTATAATGAGTCTGTCTTTTGCCCGTGGCCACTAAGTGGTGAGAAGCCCTCCCAGTCCTTATTTTGCTTACCCCCCTTTCTGGGGCTTTCGTGGTGCTCAGTTGCCCACTGGGCCTAAACCACAACAGGATCCATTATTTCTTTGATGCTCACTGAGAGCTGCTGCTAGTGCTTGCTGCATTTTGTGGCTGAAACCTTTTCAAGTATAGAATTCCCTCTGGCTTTCGGTGACTTTCTGCATATGTAGCAATCACCCTAGGTTCATTACTGCAGGAATACCGAATGGGCAGGGAAATGCTGCTGCCTTTCTCTGACCACTTGAAATTAAGATACTCTGCATCACAGTGAAAGACATAAGCCAGCAGGAGTTTGTTAGAGTCTATCTGCCTTAATCAGAAAAAAAATCTGGTGAGCTGAAAATGTCCAGATGGGCTTATAAAGTTAAAAATAACAGGCTGTGTCCTTCCCCCTATGATGAGATATATTTCCTTGTCGACAATGCTCCCACAACATGCCAACTGCGCTGCCACCAGGGCACATTCCGTGTCAAAGAGTCTAATGACCGTGAGTGAAGGTGATTTGGACTCCGTGAATTCAGGAGGAGCTCTGTGCTGTGAGAGAGGGACACAGTATGACAGAATAAGAAGATGCCATCAGGAAAGAGGGCTCAACCCAACTAGCAAAATCCATTGGTGCCAACACACAGACAACATGGCCAGGGAAAACTTCAGGTAGTGGTTTGGACTCACAAGGAGTTGTGCTTTAGCACAGAGGTCCATTACAATAGGAATGCACTCAAATCAAGTTGTCTTGTCTTGACAGATCCATGACTTTGTATAGCCAAGCTGGCTACAGAGTGGACCTCCTTTCTGTAATGAATGTTTAATCCTGAGTGGAAAAGAAGGTTGAATTCATATCAGATGAATCAAAAGTGACATATAGGTTAGATTGGGTGCTGGTGTTTAGTTGTGTTTCAAAGCCAGCAGATTGGTTTCTTTTTAAGAAGCTGGGGAGCATTTTCTCGAGAGTTTTAGCAGAGAAAGGAGGAAATTATGAGTTCCAGTTCTGCTGGGAGTAACTGTAACAATGACCATGAGCTTCAGACCACGTGCCTTTCCCCAGCTCTCACAGCTACCTACATCCCTTAACCAGCCTTACAGTGACCGGGATCTCTGCTCTCCTTCTCAGTCTGCATATGGAACAGGTTGTGAAATAAAAATCACCTTCCAGCTGCAGTAAAGTTTTTCAGCAAACCTTTTGCCAAAACCTCAGTTTTACACAGCTCAGTGTTCATGGTCAGAGGAAGAGAGTGAAGAGCTGACTGGGGCTTCCCTATCATGCTGCTGCTTCATGGGGACTGGAAGCCACATGCATATGCAGCAGATGAGCACTTACAGGCACTACTTTAATGTGGACAATGATGTAGAATTGTTTCAAGCACAAATGCTATTCTGTTTAATGAAATCTCAGCACGGAAAACTGGAAACATTCTTGGTGGATCAGTGCAGCAAGGGTGGCCCAATGCCTTTGCCAAAGGTATAGAGGGAGGGTGAGTGGCTCTTTGGCAAGAAATGCTAGGAATGATGGAGGGTAACCAAACTTAGCCTTAAAATTCAGGTTATGCTCTGCATAAAGCTAATGCAAAACCCACTTGTATCGATTATTCTAACTCTGTACAGACTGTGCAGATCCTATTTAAGATCTTATTTTTTAGGCTTAATAAGTATAAATGGCACAAGTTTGCTATTGTACCTCAAGCTTGCCATTACTTACCATTTCAAAATTTGGCTCTCTAACCAACAGCAATGCATCTTTCCACCTTTGGAGGATAAAAGTATGGAGAAGAAGTGTCAGGCTTGTCTTTTACCAGACCCTATTCTTTCATTTCTCCTCCTGAATTTTGGATCTGGAATACACTAGAAGACTCTCAGTTTTGGGAAGAAGTTGTCATTAAAAGTGCACATCACATTACTGTCATTAACAAGCAGCTTGTGTCTTTGATCTGAGTGAAAGCATGGACAAGTTGCTGGGCAGCTGTTCCTCCTGGAACATTTTGCTTGTCATGATAAATTTGCTTTGTAGGTTGCTGGTAGGTGTATCCTAGGCTTTGACATTGAAGGCTGGTGCTACCAGGAGGAGGAGATGGCTTGGTGCTTGAGGTGGCACTGTGTTCACATACCTCCCACCCAGCAGTACAGATGTTTGAAGTTCACTGGTGTCTCTCTCTGTCCTGGTAACATACGTCAGTTTTCTGTGGGCAGGCATCCACTTGATTGCCTAGGGTCCCGCATAACCAAAAATTTGACTTACCTACTTACTGTTCAGAGTGTCATCTGCTAGGCATGCTTATGAGGGATGTCACCCCTGCAGAACACATCATCAGGCAGAAGCCAATGACTAAGCTGTGAGCTGGGAAAATGGTGGTCACACCCTACTGCTTCCCACTGTTGCATGTTTGACCACTTCCTTTCCCATGAAAAGGTCAGAGCAATCTTTAATAACCTGCTGTCCCTGAAGGCACAAAAGACCAGAACGTCGCTTTGGCTGGGGTTGAACTGCAAATTAACTTTTCTCCCATGTAATGTCTTCTTTCAAAGGATGCTTGTTAAGTTCTGAAGTCATATTATACTCTACTTGTCTGAAGAAGTGAGTTGTAGGACAGACTCTTCTGCAACTAGAAGATTTGGGAAAAGGTAGGAAAAATGTGTGTTTTAATTTTTTTTTTAATTTCTCATTTTTCCCTGCTGAGGCCTGCTATGAAAAACAAAAGAAATTTGGAATAAAGTTGAAAAAATGCTATTTATTGTGATATTGTTACCGCTGTATATTAATTAACAAAAATGCTTCGTGTAACTAATTACTATTTCAGAAGAAGCAACTTTATTTTCAAACTTGCAGTAGTAAGCAACCGCAATTCCCATATGCTCTTGGCTGTATTTCTGTTGGGCCTTAGTCCTATGTAGTTAAATATATTGCAATGAAGATGCATAGAGTTACCAATTTAATTTTTCAGGGTTTGTCTTCAGAAACACAACCTTCTTTTATATCTACACAGTATCATCAGGTCTTTGTACTATCTCTGAGCCCTGTCGATTTAACCTTCCTTTTTGTTTGCAAGCCAGAAATGTTTATACTTTCTATTTTTAGCTTTTAATTTTTCATCTGTTTTAGAAATGTGCCAACAAGCAAAAAAAATACTTAAGCATTTCAATGAACAGCAGAGTTGCTGGATATTATCAGGTATATCTGTCACTGTTCAAGAATGAAAAAACAGAGAGAGAAATCTTGTAATTTTGAGATTGTTCAGGAAGCATCAATTCTACACTACTTTCAGACATGACTCTTGATCTGCATCTTTATGCTGCAAAATCGTATCTTGGCTGGATGAGTTTAATTCTTCTTTATATGATAATTAAAATTATGATTTAAAATTAGTATTAATGCAAATTATAGCTAATTTGTGGCCTTCTTGTGTAGGCAGAGGAGTGTAAAAATGTTTTCATTTGAATGAAGCATTGCACATTATGGTACTGTAGAGAGAGAGAAGCCCATGAAGTTACTGCTTGTCCTTCATATGTGCTAACTCACCATTTTGGACATGCCTAGCCCTAGGATGTGCAACCCCGTGCACACTTATACATGCAAACATATCTTCTCCCAGGCTCACCTCCCACAACAGAGAATCTAAGCCATGACCAGCACTGCCAAAAGACTGCAGCAGTTCGTGGTAGAGCCACATTGTTATTTTATAGAGGGTATAAGGTATGACACCATTAACGAGTGTTTTGGGTCACCCCAGTATGGAAATACTGCTTAGAAACACTAAACTGTAGGTAGTGTTTTTACTACTATTCTAGAGATCATGCTTACAAAATCAGAATATTTTATTCCAATGTATTATTTTTACTATTTATTTATTACTTGTATTGCTATAGCAACTAGGAGCTCAGCCACAGACAAAGCCCCCACTCTGCTAGGAACTGCACAAACAAGAAACACAGGTGAGGAGCTCATATCTGCATTAATAAAGTGTTCTTAAATTTAAAGAGTCTCTGAGGTCACGTATGCAACTGCAGACAACAAATACAAAGCAAGTTCCAATATAAGCAAATAAATAAATCCACAGTCAGAGCCTCAGTGATAACTTGGCTGTACACTGAAACTCCTTGGAGGAGTGCTGACATTACCAACAGACCTTTAACTGTGCCCTAGAAGAAATAAATTCAGGCTCTATCAAGCCAAGAAGGAAGGGTCAGCCAAGGACCTCATGTTGCAGCACCTCTGCTTTTAGCGAGTGGATGGTTAGTGGGAGCATCTCCGTTGATCCAGCTGAGCACAACCTCCTCACATGCAACGCTCTTTGGTACAGATTTCAAGCGTTAATGAACGTGGGATCTGAAAATACTCCTTTGCTCATTATCTTGCCATTGACCTGAGAGAACCTTCATATTTGTTAAGAAGAAAAGTTGTCAACCCTCCTTAAGAAACCATCAGCCTGTGAATCCCATGAGGAGGCACTACCAAAAGGACTGTGATTACACAAAGCAACGACCTTCTTAAATTCTCCTGCATTTCAGAGAGTATTGATTTCTAGCATGGTATTGAACTGTGTAATATGAATGCTATTTTACATTCTAGGAATGCCAGCTCAGTTAATGCCTTGAAATCTTCCTTCAATTTTTAGTGCCCTAAGAGGAAGCTGATTAACTCCTTCCCTTCCTTCAGTATCTATTTTATTTTCCTATTTTTTGTCCTCTTTCTCTCATTTTCAATCTTTTTTTTCTGCTGTGTTACCAGCACAACTTGCTGCTGAACGGAGACACAATTTATTTTGTCATTTTAATGCAGGGAGTCTGCACAATGCATGCAGTTTTGTAAGATTTCAAAAGAAATACAACATAATGTACATGTGCTAATTAAACTCACCACATTAATAACGTGACAGTGTGTGGCCTTTGTAACTCTGGCAGCCGTAAGAAAAGTCCCGAGGGAGACATATTTCTTCAGACTCAATTGCTGTAAGGATCTTTGCAGGGAGGCCCTTCATTTTTTTTTTCGGAAGGTCCTACACTCATGGGGGATGTGTTGTTTAGTAGTCTAACGTTGGCAGTCCTCTACCCCTGCCCCTTTTCTCCCCACACTAAATTGCTGATAAACCTTCCTGGTCACCCTGTAAAGTAGAAGAGAGAACTAAAACCACAGTGTTTCAAACCAGCAAGACATCAGAAAACAGGAGTGTCTGCAGTGCTGTTGCAGAAGGTGGCATTCAGCCGGCGTGAAGTCCCGCTGTTTGCGAGCGGTTTCACTTATCACCTGGGAGAAATGGGAAGGTAGAGGCTTGTCTCATCCACCCCATGGGAGCTGCAGTGTCTGGAGCCTGGTTTTGTTCTCAGGCACATCTGGCCAGCACTGCAGGCTGCACTCATGTTTCTAGGAGCCTGTCTCTACTGAGTTTGGGCCTGTTAAAGACATCTTTTGAAGCTGGAGAAGGGCCTAAGCTTTCTGTGAAGATATGGTCAGGGAGAATTGCTCATGTTCTTCTCCTTTTTAACAAGTATAGATTTATAAAGCA